TGTGTGTGTGTGTGTGTGTGTGTGTGTGTGTGTGGCTTAGAATCACTGTGGGTAAGGTATCTGGGAGTGGGAATCCAATGTCCACTTTAACATCCTCCCACAGCACCTATCCTAGACAGCAGTGAGCCTGGGAGACAGGAGAGATGAGAGGCAACTTGTGCCTAAGAGGTGACACTCTTGGAAGTTGAGGTAGGAGGGTCACAAGTGCCCCGTCAGTCTGCACCTTGCCTATAAATTGTAAAATAAGCAAACGGCAGAAGGGGATGTTGGCAGTGCAGACAAGTTCCAGGCAACGTTGTGGATTGGGGAAGGAGTCATTGAAAAGGGGGGGGGGGGGGGGGGGGGGTGTTGTTTGTTTTTCGAGACAAGGCTTCTCTGTAGCTTTGGGGTCTGTCCTGGAACTCGCTCTGTAGACCATGCTGGCTTCTAACTCACAGACATCCACCTGCCTTAAGGATTAAAGGTGTGCACTAACACTGCTCGGGGAAAAGTTTTCTTAAAAGAGACAGCCAGAGCTGTTAAACAGAGTAACTCTGTCTGGAAAACCCAAAACAAACACACAAAAGTAAAGCGAGCCGGGCGTTGGTGGTGGCGCACGCCTTTAATCCCAGCACTCAGGAGGCAGAGGCAGGCGGATCTCTGTGAGTTCGAGACCAGCCTGGTCTACAAGAGCTAGTTCCAGGACAGCCTCCAAAGCCACAGAGAAACCCTGTCTCAAAAAAAAAAAAAAAAAAAAGTAAAGCGAACTTTTTCGAGACAGGGTCTTACAGTATGCAGCCTCTAGCCTCAACTCGTGACTCCTGGGCGGCGTTAAGCTTTTGAGTGCTAGGCCACAGCTATTCGCTACTACACTGCCCCTCAAACGCAACTCCTGATTCAGACCCTGGGGGTGGGGAAGGGGGCAGCGTGCTCAAAGATGGGGGAGCCATTTTTTGCCCATTTTACTGTGGAGACCACCTGGGTTCAGAGTGTGAATGGCCTCTTTCGTGTGTCTTTACATTGCGGTTGAGCCTGACTGGACTACAGATCGCAGGGTTGGCCCTAAGCCTATAGGTAAAGCTGCCCCGTGGAAGCCCAGGACGTAACGGAAGCGCAGGACCTCGCAAAGCACTCGATTTCCGGAAAGGAGGAGCGGTGATCCGGATCTCGCCGCAGGACGCGGGGGCGGGGTAGTCTCGTTCCCGCCTCCCAAGGGTGAAAAAACTGTTATTAACGGCGCGGTTGTGGCGTCACTTCCGCGCGCCGCCGTTACGTCAGTAGAGGGCGCAGATCGTGGTAGTGTGATCTGTTCGTAAAGTTCGGTCTTGATTGTCCCGTGTGAGCCATGGAGAGTGACTTTTACCTACGTTACTACGTGGGTCACAAAGGCAAGTTCGGTCATGAGTTCCTGGAGTTTGAATTCCGACCTGACGGTAAGAGCGGCCTCCCGCCTACAAGGAAGGGAAACGGGACCTGGGGGAGGGCGGAGAGGCCGGGCCGCGGCTTTTGTGAAGGAAGGGACTGAGACCGGAGCTCTTGGGTTGTGAAAGGCGTAGTCTTTTCTTTCGGCCTCACTGGTCCTTTCTGTCCATACGCTGGAGCTTCTCCTTAGTAACTTTTGGGTTCTTTTGGTTTTTCGAGACAGGGTTTCTCTGTGTAGCTTTGGAGCCTGTCCTGGCAGCCTACTCGCTCTGGAGACCAGGCTGGCCTCGAACTCACAGAGATCCGCCTGCCTCTGCCTCCCGAGTGCTGGGATTAAAGGCATGCACCACCAACGCCCGGCTTCTTAGTGGCTTTAAAAAGCCAGGTTGTTAACGTTTCAACAAAGATTGATTGAATGTCCATCTTACACCGGGCCGTGTTCCACTCTGGGGACAGAGCCACGAAGATAAATTTCCCCTCTCGTGGAACATGTGTTTAGGTACTGGGAGAAACCATAAACAGTGATCTCCTGTAGTGAGGAGTGATCCGAAAATAGGG